TGTGGGAAGATGTCGTCAGGAATGAGGCAACAGGCTTCTGAGCTCGAGGCTACAAAGAAATAAAACAGTTTGGCGTACTTCATGGGAAGACTTTTGTTAAACCAAAGAACAAACTGTGCTTCCGACGGGGGGCGGGGGGGTCCTGCTCATCCATAGAAATCAGGCAGAGGAGCACAAACAAGGTCACATATCCAATGTTTTCTTACGGAGATAGTGGAGCAGAAAAGAAGACTTGAATGGACGCCACCGTTTCCTAAAGCACTGAGCCAGTTTTCCTCAGTGGTCACAAACAACAGCATTGTTCCTGAGCGGGCTCCTCAGTTCCCAGGGAGGAACACTGTACCTCCTCAACACTCGGCTCCCCTTTGGAGTCGTCCCTCCTCGTCGCGCCGTAATTACTGTAACTGTCACGTCTTTGTTCTTCCTCAATGGAGGAGGAAAATGGAAAGTCTTTTCTTTCCCCCCGACCCCTCACCGGTCGCCCCTTGTGCAGGGCGTAAACTGTGTCCGCTTCAATTACGACCTCGTTTAGGGGGGTGTGTGTGTGTGTAGGGTGGGGGGCGCTGCAGGGGGGCTGTGCCAGTGTGTGTCTGTGATAACATGTGGTTCTGGAGAGATTTGGGGTTGTGTGTTGGGGGTGTGACCCGAGGATGGGCTGTTATTGGGTGCCTGTCGTCCCGCCCAAAGTCCTCTTCCAGCCCCCCCACCCCTGCTCCTCAACGCCTCATTAACCAGCTTCTGCTTCCCACTGTTACCCCCCCAACTCATCCAGTTTGTTGTTGTGTTTACTCCCAGTGCAACATGTCGACCCACGGCCAGCGTGGCGAGTGTTGGTGCGTGAACCCCCTGACTGGGCTCCAGCTCCCGGAGACACCGAGGATCCGAGGGGATCCCAACTGCAACCAGTTCCAGGAGGAGCTCCGAGCCACGCCCACCACCACGTCCCAGGAGCTAACCCCGCCTTAGTGTTCGTTCTGCCCCCGTTTGTGTTTCTTTCTACTGAACAACTGCAGGAACAAACGAAGAGCAGCTCGAAGCTCTCTGCCTCGTGTGACACTTCAGCTGAAAATCAACTCCATGCTGAAGTTAGGATGTTGTGTGAAATGTAAATAAAAAGAGAACGCAACGATTTGCAAATCTCATAAATCTTTTTCACACGTTCCTGCAGTAAATATTTTCAACTTTCTCATTGTTGGAGTTGTACATTAAAAAAAACCCAGCGTGTTTTCAGGTACAGTTTTAGCTTATGTTAAACAAACTAATTTGTTGCTGATTCCTTATATAAATTAAAGCTGTAACATTTAAAATATGTATAATTTACACATAAAATGTATCTACAGTAAATGACTGATTTGTTGTGTGTTTGAGTCGTTTGTCGAGTTGTTTCTTGATTAATTTTTTAGCGTCCTGCTGGAGCGTGACAGAAATACAAACACACYACAGAGAGAAACCAAAGGAAAGCAGGTGTGCGTGGGAAAGGACAGAAAAACACCTCAAGCATCAGTTCAATCTGACAGAAACTGAAGCTGCGTTAACATCGACCATGAAAATGTGCAAATTAGAATTTTGAAAATAAATTTGCTCAATGGAAACACGTCAATTTCGAATTTTTTTTTTTACATTTTTCAACTAAATGTTTTTGTGCTGGGACGAGGTGGT